AGATAGAAGGGCAAATTCAAAAATGTAGCTATACTCATATAAGAAGACTTTAGTTGAAATCTAACTCACTTTTACAAAAATTAATCCCATTAATTCATATATTCACAAACTGATTTTTAATGACAAATTCTATTTGAGATAAAGGACATCAAAGGAAACCATAGTTTGTGACTATATCTTGTGTATGCACACTCTCCTGTATTTTAATCAGTGGGTTGCAATAAAGGCATTTTTTACATTTTTTTAATGTTACTTTTATTTACTTATTTTATTTTGGCTGTGCTGAGTCTTAGTTGTAAGCACACTGGAACTTCGATCTTAGTTGTGGCATATAGGATCTAGTTCCCTGACCAGGGATGGAACCTGGGCCCTCTGCATTGGGAGTGAGGAGTCTTAGCCACTGGACCACCAGAGGAGGCCTTTAAGCATTTTCTAGATCATGGATGAGGGCAGAAGAAGTACAGATCAGTGGCACTGTGTACATTTCTTCATTTTAACAGCTGTGTGTTTTTTTTTAATCTTTGATTATCTCTTATAAGAATGCTGTTTTATTAACCATTACATCCTCAAGCTGGTAGATTGTCCCTTGAACTGTCAACTTTACAGAAAACACTTAGTGATTGAATTAACATAGTTGCTTAGAAACAACATGTTGCTTGTATTTTGCCTGATCTAGGAGACTTGATGACTTGTGGATTTTAATTTGGGTCAAAAGTGATTTCTTACCCCCACACTTCTCAGCAGGGTGATTTTGAACAAGAAATCCTGCTTGGTTGGTTGTGAAATTTAAATGAAATAATGGAAGTAGAAAAGTTTAGTTAACTACTCTTTGTTAAACCAGTCCCTGGCTGGTACTGTAATTGTTTGATTTTTCAGACCAAATAGGACTCACCGCCTGGAGCTATAGGATGAATCAAACTGTGGAAGTCCAAGCTATTTGGAGGAAACTAACACCAACAACAAAACCGTATTTTTATTTTGTTTTGTTTTGTTTTATACAGGAGGAAAACTGTTGGAGAGGGGGATGACTCTTAGGAAACCTTCATAATAATTCAAAATCTGACTTTGACTGGAATATTCTGTTTTTGCCACAGTGGCAAGTTCCTTCAGTTAAGAAATAACCAGTCACAATACCAAGCTGTTTAACAAGGTGAGAAATTTGAGGTGTGGACATGGCCAGCAATATCTTTGAATTCTGAAAGATCTAAACAGCTTTTTATACAGTCTACTGTATTGTTAATTGATTACTACTGTATTACTGAGTTGATGCCTTCCAACTGTGGTGCTGGAGAAGACTCCTGAGAGTCCCTTGGACAGCAAGGAGATCAAACCAGCCAATTTTAAGAGATATTAACCCTGAATACTTGTTGGAAATACTGATGCTGAAGCTCCAGAATTTTGGTCACCTGATGCAAATAGGCGACTCATTGGAAAAGTCCCTGATGCTGGGAAAGATTGAGGGCAGAAGGAGAAGAGGGCGTCAGAGCATGAGATGGCTGGACGGCATCACCATGAATGATCAAGAACTTGGGCAAACCCGGAAGACGGGGTGGGGGGGGCCGCTGGCGTACTGCCATCCATGGGGATGCAGAGTCCCAAACAACTGGGCCCCTGAACAACTGTATTGCGAAAGAAAATGTTCCCCTTCTTTTTAAATTGAAGAATAGGCGGTTTGGGGCTTCTCTGGTGCCTCAGATGGTAAAGAATCCGCCTGCAATGCAGGAGACCTGGGTTGGATCCCTGGATCGGGAAGATCCCCTGGAGAAGAAAATGACTACCCTGTCCAGTACTCTTGCCTGGAGAATCCCATGGACAGAGAAGCCTGGGAGGCTACAGTCCATAGGGTCACCGAGACAAGGCCACGATGGCAGTCAAGGCGCACAGACGCTTGCGCATGCGTGCATAGGTGACCTACAACCTAGTAAATTCTTCCGGTGCGGGGAAGGGAGGCGGCCAGAGGGGCTGCAGCAGTCACGCGGGGCAAGGCGGGACTCGACCGAGCACAGTAGACCGAGCCGGCGCAGCGGGGACTCAGAGAGCGGCCGCGACCCTCCGGAAGGAGCGGCATCCCTGCTCGGGGAGAGGCCGGTGGCCGGGGCGCCCCCGCCTCCTAAAGGGAACTGAGGCCCGCGGGGGCCGCGGGGAGCCCGGAGGCCTACCCATCCAGGGCCCGGAGGGAAACTTCCCAACAGATACAAAGAAAAAAAAAACTTTCTGCCACACTTCTTTTTTGCAGAAACATCTTTTCCCGGTTCTCTGACCAGAGAGCGGGCGTCTGTGTGTGACCTTTTGCTGCATGCTCAAGTTGTGCAGACCAGAGAGCTCTGTCTCCCTTCCTTTCCCTTCGCCGGGAAAGAGAAGCGGAAAAGCAGCTCCACAAAATCCAACTCCATTGCGGGTAATGATTTCAGTTTTAACTTCTCTCCTCATTTCACTTTTCACTTTTAATTTTTCGCAGTCCTCACATAGTTACTGTTTATAGTCGATTCTGAGTTTTTATATCTGTCTATGTACTATTGGCAATTTATCGCATTTTGGCGGGTGCCAGAATCAATCTAAAAAATTTAGGTATGCAACAATTTTTGGATCCCTTCCAAAAATAAGGGCATTATTGTGCGTGTGTGCTAAGTCACTTCAGTCGTGTCCAACTCTTTGGGACTCTATAGGCTGACGCCCGCTAGGCTCCTCTGTTCTAGAGATTCTCAGGCAAAAATACTAGAGTTGCTGCGCTCTCCTCCAGGGATGAACCGTCATCTCCTTTCTCCTGCACGCGGTTTCTTTACCACTAGCGCCACCTGCCCGCAAAGGTCGGTCTAGTCAAAGCTTTGGTTTTTCCAGTAGTCACGTATGGATGTGAGAGTTGTACTGTAAAGAAAGCGGAGCTTCTAAGAAATGCTGCTTTTGAACTGTGTTGTTGGAGAAGACTCTTGAGAGTCCCTGGGACTGCAAGGAGATCCAACCGGTCCATCCTAAAGGAGATCAGTCCTGAATATTCTTTGGAAGGACTGATGTTGAAGCTGAAACTCCAGTACTTTGGCCACCTGGTGCAAAGAACTGACTCACTGGAAAAGACCCTGATGCTGGGAAAGATTGAGGGCAGGAGGAGTAGGGGAGGACAAAGGATGAGATGGTTGGATGGCATTATTGACTCAATGGATATGAGTTTGAATAAACTCCGGGAGTTGGTGATGGACAGGGAGGCATGGTGTGCTGCGGTTCGTGGGGTTACAAAAAGTTGGACAGGACTGAGCGACTGAACTGAACTGAGCGACTGAACTGAACTGAGCGCCACCTGGGCATTATTAGCTTGCTTTAAATAATCCCTAAGCAAATACTTGAAACTCTAATTAAAGTTTATTTTCAGCTACAACTTCATAGAAATACATTTAATGCGGAGATTATTCCCTAAGCCACTTTCTCTGTAAAGAGAGTGAACAAAAGATGCAGAGATGGAAGAAAGAAGAGTGGGAAGAGAAATATTTATATGTATATATATGGGCTTCCCTGGTGGCACAGCCAGTAAAGAATCTGCATGCCATGCAGGAGATCCCAGTTCTGTCCCTGGGTTGGGAAGATCCCCAGGAGGAAATGGTTACCCACTCCAGTATTCTTGTCTGGAGAATTCCATGGACAGAGGCTACAGTACATGGGGTGAGAAAGAGTTGGACACAACTGATGGAATCAGTCAGAGTCAGACTATAGAGTGACTCACACTTTCACACTCCACTTCATATATATATATGAAAATAGAATAAAAAAGAAAAAACATTCTTTATGATGAGATCTCTTAGAATCTACTCTTTTAACAGCTTTCTTATCCATCATACAACAGTGTTAACTAGAGTCATTATGTTGGGCAATATATCCCCAAAGAGGGATTTCAATGTCTGATTATTTTGCAAAGTGTTAATCTCTAAGTCAGTAACACTCTTTGAGATGAAATTTGTTGACAGCTTGGATGTTTTGTATATGTGAGAAATAAAGTTCATTGCCCATCCTTGAAAATATATATTCAGAGTATTTTCACTCTATGTATCTTCCTTAAAAATACTGCAGATTCCAAGCAGCTAACCCTCATTATCTGTACTACTATTGCTCTGGTAAAAATATGTGTGTGTTCCTGAAAATCTGTTCATCATTGAGAACTACTAAGCAACACTGAGGGAATCAAATCATACACTAAATCTGTATCTTGCCCACTAAAATGAATTTCTGAGTCACAAACCTGGACAATAACTTAATTCACTTCTTTAATGTTTCTCATCACTTCTTGAGCTACTGACTGTGTCTACACGATAGTAAATGTTTTTGGTTATATAGCCTTTGCTTTTAATGTTTTTCCTACATATTCATTTGTTCAAATATTTTTCAGATGTCTTTCATATCCTTAACCTGGTGTTTTGTCCCTGGAATGTGGTTATGAAGAGGACAGATATTGTCCTTCCTTTTTGCAGTCTGGACACTACAAAAGAAGATCCAAAATCTACTGTGAGCTTTGCAAAGGGAAAGAATAAGCTGTTCTTGAGGTCATATTATAATTGATCTACTTTACTCAAGTAAACCGAGGATTAAAGGGGGAATAGAATTTAGCCAGATGAGTGGAAGGAGAGGAAAATTCTGTGCTGCCCTTGAGTTTTGACAAGGATTCTCTGGAAGAAGAATCCTCTGTGCTTTGCATTCATGCATTTGACTGGGTTTCCACACCCATGTGTTCTTTGATCTCTAGCAAGTTCAGATGGCAAATGAAAAGTGCTTATATCCTACCCAATAAAATAAAAGTGATTGCTTTTATTTAAATAAAATATAAAAGACAAATGGACATCATTAACATTACCACCGCTTTAAAAAATAATGCAGCCTTTATAAGTCCTAAAGGTAAAATGAAGTTAAACACCATGAAGTTATAATTGATTTTCCCCATTCTAGAAGTCACCAGGATAGGAGCCCCCTCAGCTACTAGAATTACCAAAACCTTGGTCAGGTTTGTGGCCTGTTCCTGATCATTTGGGTCCACACCAAATGAAAGGTCTGAGAGGGAAAGAGAAAGATCGTGAGAGGAAATTACAAATGAGGGAACCTCTGGCAACATTAATAAAGCTTATCATACCACATTCATAATCTAGAAACACCCCTATGTAGCCCTGGGGTCTTTGAATATAGTGGGGTAAGAATGGGAAGGTAGAAAAGAGACTGAAGTGGCCATCGTTACTGACACATAGAAGTAGAAAAATGTCCTCGGAGTTCAGCAGCATATCAGTCCTGCTTGTCCAGGACTCCTTGCAGAGTCCTATAGCCCAATCACAGGAGTTGCCCACATTCACCTCCCAGTAGTGTTTGCCAGCGGTGAAGGTCTGAGCACCCCATGTAGGAGTGTTCTCTGGATGTGCTGGGTCCCAAGGCACGTCTCGATGGACAGGACTGCACTGTAGACATCTCAGGGCTTCAATCAGAGGCACGTGACAGTTTCTTATTTTACCATCCAACGTAATATACACTTCAGTAAAACGAAAGCAATGAAGTCAGAACAGCAGTTTCAAGTTCTGAGGAACATATAAGTGCAGTGATGTTGTGACAAATGTTTAGCAACCAAATCTCTGAAACGAAGCAAAACTGATTTGTCTTATTTGCTGGGAATATTTCAACCCACCATGACCAGTCTCAAGGTGCCAGTCCTTAAGTAATTGCTCCTAAAATTCTGGAGCTTGTAACAATTAGCTCCCACGAGTGTGGCAATACTGGCTAGTTTCAGAACCCTTTAATTACAGATGTTAGAAAACCTGTGTTACCACACCCTTTATACAGAGTGTGTGCTGGAAATACATATAAAGAACAGGAAGGGCTTCTTATCTATCTAAAGAGCCAGAAAATCTCTAATTGTACAACTGAAGGAAGGAAAACTTTGAGAATACATAAAGACAAGGATGTCAGACTCTGGCTTATTTTCACTATCTCACCAAAAATTTGGGAGTCCATTCATAGATGTCAAGAAAATAGCAAAATGGCCCTTAAGTCATCTCATTAATCAATCATCACAAAATTAAAAATAATAATAAATATATATTTCATATGACATTGTTGCTATTTTTAGTCCTAAATAGGGATCACATTGCCTAGGCTATAAGGGCTTAACATTTAAGGAAGTAAAAATAAAATAAACCAAATATCTATATGTGCTCTTTTTTTTGCAGTGATTTCTCTCAGAATTTCTAATGGAGTCGCTGCTAAATCAGAATCCAACTCATCCCATCTTAATCCAGCTTCTCCTTTGTCCGCTGGGCTCACCTCCAATTGCATTTGTCTCAGGGAGGCCTCTACACAATGAATTAAGGATTGTTTTCAAGCTTTTTGAAAGTCTTGTGATTTTTCACATACAATCATTACCTTTAATACTCAGGTAAAAATTTAAGTAACAGCATTAAGGTGATTCTAAGAATCTCAATATCCACATAAATACACTGAATGGATATGCATTTTTATAAGTCAAAGTGTTCTTTTTATTATTATTATTTTAACTCACTGCAAGTAGCTATATGAAAAACTATGTGTCATATTAATAATTTTTGACAGGCTTCAGTTAACTTTTCTGACTGATAATTAGCAATAAAATAAATAAGTTATAAGGGTTTGCATATGTACCTGCTCCCCTGTTCTCTACAAAGAACAGACAGAGTGGTGAAGAGATATCATCAATGTGTTATCTACTCATGCAGGAAATGTGATTGCCTTCACGCAGAGTGCCGCCTCTCACCTCGGAAGCTGTTAAGCCTTTCCAACATCCCAGTGATGGTCCATGTACTGAGCTGTGGGTCCAAAGGCTGGGGAATGTACAGCTGCATTAACTGACTCCTGTAAAGAGAAAGGCCCACTTACTAATAGGCCCAAAGGTATCATTAGCAACCCACTGATGATGCTTCAACAGAATCCTCATAATTACCTTTAAAGGGTATGAATTTAACTGCTCAGGTGGAGGAACACTGCAGTTGCTATTATATTTTATAATCTGCTTCCTTGCTTTTGGCATATCAAACCTAGTAGAATGTGATGCCTCAATCAAAACTGTGTCTGTTTCCTTCCTTCTAGCTTCCCTAGGAGAGCCACACAGCAATTCTTATTTAATTCCTGAAATCTAATAGGCGGAAAATTATTGGAACTTGCCATTTAATACATATGAAACGTCAGCACTATTGTATGTTCTTTCTTGATGAATTCTACCTCACTCCTTTTCTCAGCATCCTTCTACCTACTCTTTCTCTGAGTTTATCTGCCTTTCCCATGGATGACCAAGAATAATCCTTGGATAACTAGGATTTGGAAATTAGGGGCAGGAAAAATCATCTTTTTGCAACTTCTACAGAAAGCCTTGCAATAGAAACTGCGCTCCTCTCAAACGTACTGTCACCAAAGGGTAGACTATATAAAACCTGGCAGACTATTAGAGAAGGAAGGAATAAATACAGAGAGAAAGAAACTTCTCATTGAAAGGGAGGGTTCATCTTAGCAGAAATAGCCTGATCACTGTCACAATTATCATGATTTAAATAGAGGGGCAAACTTACCTTTTCATTGTGTCTTCCACACCCTGTAAAGAAAAAGTGAAGAAGTCTTAGTTTTCAGCACAAACTCTCCTGCTAAGTCTAGTTTGAGGATATGAGATTATACTGGGAAATTGATTATTTCCAGTTTTTTTCCTTGGATAAAATCATTTGTCATTTCCCTTCTCCTTATAAATATGAAATCCAGTCTCACATTTACATACACTTGACAAGATCATAATCTTGACAAAATTGAAAGTCAAATGTTCTTAAGGTGCATGAATGACTATTCTTTGTCTTGATATACAGAAGTATTCACAGGGGTTTCCCCAAAGTTCTTTGGTGTGTGGACTCCAAATCTAGAATTTCACAATAGAAAGGATGAATGCATCCTACGGTTACACGTTACATGTATTATCAAGTGCAAATATAAATTATCTGTTTAACACAGTCATCCCTCATTAAATGAAAGGAATTCATTCCAAGATCCCCCTTGGATACTAAAATCCATCAGGTGTTCAAATTCCTATATACAATGGCACAGTATATCCATATAATGTACACATATTCCTGTATACTTTAAGCATCTCTAGATTATTTAAAGGCTTCCCAGGTGGCTCAGTGGTAAAAAAGGTACCTGCATAGCTGGAAACAAGGGTTAGATCCCTGAGTTGAGAAGATCCTCTGGGGAAGGAAGTGGCAACCCACTCCAGTATTCTCCGGGAGTTAGTGAAAGACAGGGAAGCCTGGAGTGCTGCCATCCACGGGGTCGCAAAGAGTCGGATACAACTTAGCAACTGAACAATGAGCAGCCAGTATTCTTGCCTGAACAGAGAACCCTGGCAGGCTATAGGTCATGGGGTCGAAAAGAGTTGGACATAACTTAGTGACTAAATAGCAAGATTACTTATAAGATCTAATATAATGTAAATGCTATGTAAATCATTGTCAGCACTGGTAAATTCAAGTTTTTCTTTTTTGAAATTTCTGAATTTTCTTTAAAAATATTTTCCATCAGTGGTTTGTTGAGTCCCCAGATGCAAAACCTGTAGAGTTGGAAGGGCAACTGTATGGTTAGATGGATATAAGAAGGTTTGGGAGATTTTTTTTCTGTCTCTGTTACTTGAATCTTTCCACATAGTCCTCCTTCTTCCATAGAAGGCAAAACTGCTGTTTTGTCTCCAGGTTATACTGGAGGAACAAAACCTGCCATCACAGAGGTAGAAGAGTCAGAATCTGGACTCTGGAGTGAGAAAAATAACGGAAGTCAAAGAGGATATAATGTCAAATGATATAAGTGCTTTCCAAGCAGGTTGCTGTTCTGCACCCAACATCCTTCCTTAGTCCTTACCTGGAGCATGTCCACATCTGCTTTAAGGCACATTTCCTTCAGTTCCTCATATATTTTTCTCAGGAGTTTCCCCATATGAATCATTCTGGCTACATTTCTATTGAGTCGCTGAAAAATAACTGTGCCTTCAATTGCCAACATCTCTAAATGTTTTTGTTTTTCTTCCTGGAGATACTGACACACTTTAGGGTATTCAGCTCGTATCATCACCAGTCGTAGATTTATAAACCCCTGCAGTGACATTGGATTAATTAGATCATGTATTTGGATGGTTTTATTCTTCCCTTATCATCTGTTGCCTATGTGTTATATATAGAATGCTTGTCTTAGTTCATTTGGACTACTATAACAAAAGTACTAAAGACTGAGTGCTTATAAATAACAGACATTTACTTCTCACTGTTCAATAAGGTAATAAATACAAGATTAGTGCCAGCAGGTTTGGTGTACAGTGAGAGCCCACCTCTTAAATATCCATCTTTTTTTTTCCACTTAATAATAATTAAAATATACTCCACTTTACAAAGCACATTCACATACTTGGTTTTCATTTTTTACCATATGCATGTATTTTTTTGTTGAAGTATTATTGATTTTCAATATTGTGTTAGTTTCAGGTATACTGTAAAGTAATTCAGTTATCCATATACATGTGTATAGCTATATTCTTTTTTCCAACTCTTTTTCACTATAAGTTATTACAAGATATTGATTGTAGTTCCCTGCTGAGTGCTGAAGAGTTGATGCTTTTGAAGTGTGGTGTTGGAGAAGACTCTTGAGAGTCCCTTGGACAGAAGGAGATCCAACCAGTCCATCCTGAAGGAAATCAGCCCTGAATATTCATTGGAAGGGCTGATGCTAAAGCTCCAAAATTTTGGTCATCTGATACAAAGAGCCAACTCATTAGAAAAGACCCCGATGCTGGGAAAGATTGAAGGTGGAAGGAGAAGGGAATGACAGAGGATGAGATGGATGTGAGTTTGAGCAAGTTCTGGGACTTGGTGATGGACAGGGAAGCCTGGCATGCTGCAGTCTGTGGGGTTGCAAAGAGTTGGACATGACTGAGCAACTGAACTGAACTGATAGTTCCCTGTGCTATAAAGTAGGTCCTTGTTGTTTATCTATTTTTATGTAGAATAGTTTATATATGTTAATCCCAAACTCCTAATTTGTCCCTTCCCTCACTTTCCCCTTTGATAACCATAGACTTGTTTTCTGTGACTATTGGCCTATTTCTGGTCTGTAAATAAGTGTAATTGTATCATTCTTTTAGATTCCACATGTAAGTGATAGCATATGATATTTGCCTTTCTCTGATTTACTTCCCTTAGTAAGATAATCTCTAGATCCATTCATGCTACTACTGCAAAGGGCACTATTTCATTCTTTTTCATGGCTGAGCAATCAACTCATCTGTCAACGAACATTTAGGTTTCTTCTATGCCTTGGCTAGATAGCCATTCTCTGGTTGTGTCCTCACATGGCAGAAGGGGCAGGTCTCTACTAAGCTTCTTTTTTTTTGTTTGTTTAGGGCTTCTTTTCTAAGAATCCCATTAATAAGGATTCTTTCCTAATGACCTAATCACTTTCCTAAGGCCACACCTCCTAACACTATCATTTTGGGGGTTAGAATTTCAACATTTGAACTGGGGGGGACCCAGACTTTCAGACCACAGCTTCTGTCTTCTGTGCTCCTGAACGGTGTGTTCTCAGCGAGCTTCTGGCTCACTACCTTTGTGATCTTGTAGATCTCTACCCGGACGTAACTGTCACGATGGATCTTCTCTGGCCAGCATACATCCCCCAAACCTGTACTATATATATATATCTGCTTTAATTTTCTTCCAAGAACTTTACAAATGTGATGTATTATAAATGTTATTCTTCTTCATTTGTTATATGCCTCCTCTTACAAGATTATATCCTACTGAAGTCATTGCTTTGTTTCTTTTTGCCCATTCCCATATCTCTCTGTGGACCTAGAACAGTGAGCAACACATCACATGCCCTCCTATGAAAGAATGGTTCATTAGGAAAGCCATCCTAAATGATCAGGGTAATTTTGTTATTGCCCTCCAGTATTTTTACAGCACTACATACAGAATATTTACAGAAATATTCTGTAAAATAGCCTGCTGATATGTCTTCTTTAGAAGTGACTGAGTTCTTTGAAAATGAAGATGTAGTTCAACTTCTTTAGTTTCAGGTTCTCCATTCATAAATGTGAACCAATGAATAATAAAACCCTAAATCCTTAGCTTGGCATCTTGTCGTGGCTATAATTACCTTGCCGGCCATATCTCTCACTGCCTGCCTCATACCCTATATACTAATTATTCGGAGCTATCTACATGCCCCAGATAATTCCATGATTTTTTCTCATATTTAGCTTTCTTGTACCTTAGATCTCTTTGTTATGAATTTACAGGTTCTACTAAAACATTAGCTTCAGGATGATTTTTATTTGTTTGAGAAGCTTAACATTCAAAGTTTGTTAAGCTCCTACAGAACTCTTTTTTTACCTCTATTTGAGTGACCATTGCATTTTGTTTTGTGATACTGCATTTTCTTGTCTCTGCTGAAATATTTGTGGTAGATATTGCTTTATCAAGAAAATCAAGAAAAAAATTTTAGTTACTTATTGGGGTCATTCAACATGAAATCCTACTTTGAAGGTCATGTTTTTCCATATGCAGCTCTCTCTGATCACCCTCTCAGGGGACATTATGATTTAATTCAAGTTCTTCCACTGTAAGTTACCAGGATATTTGTTCCAAACTGGCTTCAAGGGATTCAGGGTCTGTGACTTACCTCCCATGCTCTGAATATGTTGGTCACTTTTTTTATGTTTCGTTGATTTTCCTGTTTCTTTTTCCAAATAGACTTCATTTGCATCAGAAGGTGCTCCTGCAAAATAACTATAATTTGGAGCACTAGAAAAGCAAAGTTAGTACATTTCAGATACCTAAAAGAAGATATAAAGGGATGAACATGGGACAAACAGTAAAGAGAGCAGAGGTGTCAGTGATTTTCCTTTGGAATACTAACTCCTAAATCTGAGGAGATCAAGCAAAGATAGAATGTCTAAAATTGAAAAATGTAATCCATTATCTGAGGAATCTAGCATTGAATTTATAATAACCTTGTCAGTTTTCAGAAGTGAATCTTGCTTTTGTTTTGTTTTTTTCACATTGTGCATTTTTTTAAGTCAACATGAACAAATTCCTAGAAAGACACAAATTACCAAAATTATCTCAAGAAGAAATGGAAAATGTGAACAGGCCCATATGTAGTAAAGAATTGAATCGATAATGAAAAATTTTCCAACAAAGAGGAGCCCAGAACTAGATGGTTTCACTGATGAAATGCACCAATCATTTAAAGAAGAATCAACACTAACCTTTCTCCAACTCTTCTAAAATAATAGAAGAGGAAGGAATACCTTTTAATTCATTCTGTGAGGTCTCTTGCTTTATATTTAATTGTGAAATATTAGCCCTCAGTTTTCCTGTGGCACTGTTAGAAAATGTTGGCCAGTGTCTCTAAATCTGCTATAATTAGAACAGGCTCATTATAATCATGTTTGTAGCAGCCAATGACTTACTAAAACTAGATATTTATCTACCACATTGTGTGCATGCTTAGTGGCTCAGTTGACTCTTTGCGACCCCATGAACTGTAGCCCACCAGATTCCTCTGTCCATGGGATTCTCCGGGCAAGAGTATTAGATTGGGTAGCTATTCCCTTCTCCAGGGGATCTTCCTGACCCAGGGGTCAACCCCAGGTCTCCTGTATTGCAGGCAGATTCTTAAGGGTCTGAGCCAGCAGGGAAGCCCATCTACCACATTACTTCTGAAATACCACCATCCTAATCCTCATTAATTTCATCATCATTCCTCTCAGCCCAACAGGATTTAAATATCAGGAGAGCAAGGATGTTACCTAGTGTCTTCACTGCTTTATCTGTAGATTTCAGAATAGCACCTGGCACATGGTGTTCAGAAATTGTATTTAATAGCATAAAATGATAATGGTTATTAATCAGTGTGTTTTCCTCAGTGCCTATCAGATACAGGGTCCTCCACATTTTAAAGTGCAGTCAGAGGCATTACTTACCCTGTAGTGCTCTGCAACCTGCATTATTGAATAGTGTTCGTGAGTGGCATGCCCCGCAGAGCAAGAGCAGAACAGACACAACAGGCTCTTGTCGGCTTCACAGAAGTAGAGCTTTATCACCTGGTGTGTCCTACACATCTGCTTGGCAGAGCCACGTAACTGGGAGATAACTGAGTTTCCGGTAGAATGAATATGTTTCTTAGCAAGAATAATGCTCTTGAGGTCCATTTTCGGAGATACCGCCTTGCACACAGGACAGCAAGTAACTGCTGGGGCATCTTCCCATAAGAGACAGAGGCAGGGAGTGCAGAATCGGTGCCCGCACCTAATGGTGGCAGGGTCTGTGAACGTGTCCTGGCAGATGGAGCAGATGATCTCACTGGGGAGACACTGTGCAGAAGCAGATGCCATGTTTCTAAGGAAACAAAAGGAAAGGACTTTGTTTACCCTTGGCATGTGAGCTGAACTTAAGCTTTCTCTCGCTAATACATATATGTACTGTAGGAGGACAGCCCATGTTTTGAGGATGGTGGGGAAAAGAGACTCCTACAGACCAGTAAAATGCATTATTATTTTCCACAACTGGCCTCCAGCACTACTTCTCATTTCCCTATTGGAAATCCAGTGTTTTCCACATATGTTATCTCTTTTTCAAAGACAAAGAAATCAGAGGTTCTGGGCTCATTCCTAGGCAGCAGGTCACATTGTGTCCAAAACTATCACAATTTTCCCCTTTTTTACTCTCTCTGATTGGTTAGCACAAGGTATTTTTTCCAATCCTGGCCAATGAAATAAGACACTAAAACTCCTAAGACAATTTTAGAAAAAAATTTTCTTGTTCCAGAGGAGATGCACAGAATAAACAGATGGCTTTTTCTGTTTCTGGACATTTTGCAGATATAATGCCCACTTGCATAGCCATTTTGTGATCACAGCATGAGCCAGCCTGAGGAGAAAAGCCAATAGTCTAAGGATAACAAAAACATAGAAAGAAACAGTTTTTGACAATGGCATTGAACAATACTTACCTAATTCTGGAGAGGCCAATTCCAGACTAAATTAACACAAATCTCTATACTTAAAATCCTAGCAGAAGAAAGTTTATGTTTACCACCGCATAAAAAGAACTTAGCACAGTATCTACTGCCTTATATAATATGTCAGGGGTTCAACAAAAATCATGAGGCTTATCATAAGGCAAGAAAAATTTAGTCTAAACATACAAAGCAATCATCAGAACCAGACTTAGATATAAAACAGATATTAGAACTACTAAGATAACTAAGATAGTAACGATGACCCTATATGTGAGACAGCAAAAGAGACACAGATGTAAAGAACAGACTTTCGGACTCTGTGGGAGAAGGTGAGGGTGGAATGATTTGAGAGAATAGCATTGACACGTGTATATTATCATATGTGAAAAGGATCGCCAGTCCAGGTTTGGTGCATGAGACAGGGTGCTCAGGGCTGGTGCACTGGGATGACCCCGAAGGATGGTGTGGGGAGGGAGGTGGGAGGGGGGTTCAGGATGGGCAACACATGTACACCCATGGCTGACTCATGTCAATGTATGGAAAAAAACCACTACAATATTGTAAAGTAATTAGACTCCAATTAAAATAAATTAATTAAAAAATAATAGCTATCATTAGTATATTAAAGACTTTTATTAAAAAAATGTTGACAACATGCAAGATAGGTAATTTCAGGAGACAGATGAAAACTATAAGACAAGCAAATAGGCTAGATATAACATGCAGAGAATTTTATGTCTGGGTTCAGAAGTAGGTGCAATACAAGTAAGAAAATTATCAGTGAGCACGGCAGTATGTCAGTGTAAAATACAAAAACTAAACACAAAATCAAAGGGTAAAATGTTACAACAGAACAGAGCATCAAAGAGCAGTAAGACAACATTAAATGTTGTTTAACATTGTTTAACATCTGTGTGATTAGATTTCCAGAAAGAAAATGAAGATATAATAGGGCAAAGTGAAGTGAAAGTCACTCAGTCATGTCCGACTCTTTGCGACCCCATGGGCTATACATATAGTCCATGGAATTCTCCAGGCCAGAATACTGGAGTGGGTAACCTTTCTTTCTCCAGGGGATCTTCTCAACCCAGGGGTCAAACCCAGGTCTCCCACACTGCAGGTAGATTCTTTACCAGCTGAGCCACCAGGGAAACCCAACAGGGCAAAAGAAGCATTTAAAGAAATAATGGTAGAGGCTCTTCCAAAATTAGTGTCAGACACAATAAAAGAGATCTGTGATAGTCAGAGACTATCAAACAAAAAAATACAAAACAAATAAGCAAACAAAAACACAACTAGGCAAGTTATATTGAAACTGAATAAAAACCAATAACAAAGAGAAATTCTTTCTTTCTTTTTTTTTTACAAAGAGAAATTCATTAAGGGAGCCACAGAAATAGGAAAAATAAAAATAAAGATTATGCACAGAAAAATAAAGATTAAAAATTATAGCAGAAAACATGCAAACAAGAAAACAATTAAGTGGCATCTTTAGATTGCTGAAAGAAAACAACTATTAACCCAAAATTCTCATAGCTAGTGAAAATATACTTCAAAAGTAAAATATTAGAATTTTTCACAAAGAAGAAAGAAAACTTGAGGGAATCCAGTGCTATCAGGTCTAATCTACAAGAAATACACAAAGAAGCTCTTGATTTAAAAGCATATGATATTAAGAAGAAAATTGATCTACTCAGCAAAAACCAATGACACTGGAAATTGAATACAGGCAAAACATAAGCTCTTATATTTTTATTTCTTTAACTTACTATTTAAAGCAATAGTTTAACAACATATCATGTGTTTATGAAACTTATGACAAAAATGACACGAGAAATAGAAAAGAGGAATTGGAAATATTATATGGATTTTACATTAAATGAAAAGCAATATAGTATTACTGAAAGTGGACAAAGATTATTTAAAGAGGTATACTTTTAATGGGGCTTCCCTGGTGGCTCAGTGGTAAAGAAACTGCATGAAATGGAGGAGATGCATTTTCCTGATCCTTGGGTCAGGAAAATTCCCTGAAGAAGGAAATGGCAACCCATTCCATATTCTTGCCTGGGAAATCGCATGGACAGAGGAGCCTGGCAGGCTATAGTCCTTGGGGTCGCAAAAGAGTCACATGAGCTAGTGACTAAATAACAATATTTTAAGCTAACTATGTATATTCATAGATGATAAGGCTATGAGTGTAGAAAATCCCAAAGAATCTACTAAAAAACATCCTGGAAGTAATAAGCAAATTTATCAAGGTCAGGAAACAAAGGGTCAATATATAAAAATTGATTTTAATCCCTCATACATGTATGAAAAATTTGTATTTGAATTTTTTAAAACCTTACATTTATAATAAGTTCAAAAAATGAATTAGCCAAATACAATAAGTTCTAGAGATTTGATAAACAACATTGTACCTATAGTTAATGATATTGTATTGTATCATCAAAAAGGTGTTAAATGAGTAGATCTCTATTAAGTGTTCTTATACTACAATTTAAAGAAAAGGGCAAAGGAAACTGTTGCAGGCAATGCATTGATACGTTCATTATCTTGATTTTGATGGAGGATTTGTAAGTGTATACATGTATCAAAAGATTGTCAAATTGTACATTTTAAGTATGTAGAGTTTATTTTTTGTCAATTATGTCTGAACACAATTATTAAATTTTAAGAAAATGAAGGTGGCACTAGTGGTAAAGAACATGTCTGCTAATGCAGGAGACATAAGAGATGCAGATTCAATCCCTGGGTCAGGAACATCCCCTAGAGGAGCACGTGGCAACCTACTTTAGTATTCTTGCCTGGAGAATCCCATGGACAGAGAATCTTGGGGGCTATGTCTATAGGGTCACAAAGAGTTGGATACAAGTAAAGTGACTTGGCACATGTGCATGCCAAAAAAATGAAATAACTAGTTATAATTTTAATAAAATATCAATGGAAGAAAAGAATTAAGATCTAGATAAATGGAGAATTATATCATGTTTATACATTGGACAATTTAATACTGTTAAAATGGCAATCTTCCTCTATATGATGTATAAATTTAATGTAATCTCTAATAAAACTCTAGAAAAATTTTATAGGTATATACAAACTGGTTTTAAAATGTATTGCTGCTAAGTCACGTCAGTCGTGTCTGACTCTGTGTGACCCCATAGACAGCAGCCCACCAGGCTCCTCTGTCCCTGGGATTCTCCAGGCAAGAATACTGGAGTGGGTTGCCATTTCCTTCTCCAGTGCATGAAAGTGAAAAGTCAAAGTGAAGTCACTCAGTCGTGTCCGACTCTTCGCGACCCCATGGACTGTAGCCTACCAGGCTCCTCCATCCATGGGATTGTCCAGGCAAGAGTACTGGAGTGGGGTGCCATTGCCTACTCCGTTAAAATGTATTATGCCTACCAAACAAATAGAATAGCCAAAACAATCCTAAGAAATAAAATCAGAATACTCACATTACTTGATTTTAAAAGTTAGTAGAATTCTATAGTACTAAAAACACACAGTATTGGGAAAAGGAAAGACATACTGATTATTAGAACTAAACTGAAAGTAGAGACCTGCAGAGATATAGTCAGCTGATTTTTTTTTTACAAGTGTAATGGTAGCCAGTATTCTTGGGCTTCCCTTGTGGCTCAGCTGGTAAGAATCCGCCTGCAATGCAGGAGACCTGGGTTCCATCCCTGGGTTGTGAAGATCCCCTGAAGAAGGGAAAGGCTACCCACTCAAATATTCTGGCCTGGAGAATTCCATGGACTGTATAGTCCATGAGATCACAAGGAGTTGGACACGACTGAGCAACTTTCACTTTCACATTCATCAGCACTTCACTGGAGAAAGAATAGCCTTTCTCCAGATAAAACACCAAAAGCACAATCCATGAAAGAAATTAACACACTAGGCTCCTCTGTCCATGGAGTTCTCCAGGCAAGCATACTGGAGAGTGGGCTGCCATTCCCTTCTCCTCGGAATCTTCCTGATCCAGGGATCAAACCTGGGTCTCCTGAATTGCAGGCAGATTCTATTTCACTCCAACGTATTTATCCAAATGAACCGAATAGACTGGCAAGACAGAAGATAAGACTTCTCTGGATCCACAGAGATTACAGAGGTATCTCACTCTTCCTGTTAAACCTGGACTGCTATGTAGACACAGTAGAGGTTTCTCCCCTAAGAGTCAATAGGGAGCCCTTCAGATTCTCTCCTGGCTTCCTTAATCCTCAGCAAAAGTTAACCATAAAGACATTGGGTCTACCTGAGAATTAAGGGACTGTATCCCAAAGAAGCTGGGAGAATTATCCGGTGTGCACTGGCAGAGATTGTGAGAGTTCCCTTAGGACTAGATTTTGAAATACTTGATCAAGGGGC